TGTAGATATACACACAGATTTGCTAAAGTACGATTTTGGTTGCATGGGTTTTGTGATTTGTGGAGTCGTTACATGGTACTTTAAAAGTGATGGTAAAATGTATAACATAAAAGTTACCATCTCAGCCATGTTCTGATGTATAGGAGTGTTGAGTATGATCACAGTCTTACCCATCCAACTTCTAGCATCTTTTCATCTTGCAAAACTGAAATTCTAGACTGAGATCCTGTCCCCATCCCCGGCCCCCTCCGTCCCTGGCAGCTGCTGTTCTGCCTTCTATCTACATGACTATAGCTACTATGGGTGCCTCCTGTAGGTGTGGCCACTTACTTGTTGTTTTTGCCACTGGTTTGCTTTACTCAGCAAACTGTCCTCAAGTCCAGCCATGTGTCCGAACTTCCTCCTTTATAAAGCTAAACATGAGTAATCCATGTGCTGTATTAATAGCCATTTCGATTGCTTCCACCCTCTGGCTATCACAAATAATACAGCCATGAACAAGAATATAAAGACACGGCTTCAACACCTCATTTTAAACCAGGATAGGTGTGGAAACACCTGTAATCCCAGCACTTGGGAAGTGCGGGCAGGACAATGAGGAGTTCAAAGTCAGCTTTGGCTACATAGAAAGTTCAAGGCCAGCCTAGACTACTTGAGATAATGTCTCAAGGGGGGGTGGTGGAAGGGTCTCTGATCATGTAACCTGTGCTTTATTAGATTGAAGAAATGAGTCTAGAAGAATTATATTTCATACCTTCACATAGCTTTGTGTTTTTGTCATCATAGTATCTCTTTATATTCTTAGTCTGTTCTCTGCTTCTCTGATCTTTAATGAATAGAACTTACATCACACAGTGAGAAGGTTGAGAGCTCTGATATCAGGGTGCTGTCATCTGGTGAGGACCTTCCTCCTGAGGCACAGCACACCAGAGGGTGTCACCTGATGAGGACCAGGAAAACTGATAGCTCAGCTCTCTCTTCCTTTTACTATAAATCCACTAGCCCCATTGTAGAACCCCCACCACACACACACATGACTCCATCTAATTCTAATTACTTCTCAAAGTCCCCCACCCACCTTATCAGCGTATGCATCGGGAGAGTTAAGTTTGTAACACACAAATGTTGAGGGATGCATTCAAACCATTGAAGTTCTGAATGCTGACTTCACCAAGGAGCGTCTCTGTGGCTTCTTAGTACTCTCGCACCCAAGAGAGTTTGGGGGACTGTTCTTCAGCAATTAACTCGTAAGCACTTAGAGAATCACTACTAAATAGACAAGAACAACAGACCAGCCCTGTCTCAGTGACTGTAGCATTCTGAGGAAGGGCAGCATTGGCAAGGGCACCATGCATTACTAAAACCACTATTCCCACTTGCCTCCTCATAGACTTGCAGTCCCAAGCTACCTTTCTGCAGGCCAAGAATCCACATTGCCCAAGGGGAAAGTCTAAAATGCCCAGCCCCACTCAACTCCACCACTGTGTGCCCACTGGCAAAGACCTGTAACTAACATCTGTGGCCCTGTTTCAGAATCAGAATGGTGGCAGAGAATGACAAGTTGCTAGAATAATTTCAGGAGCAACTTGATCAAAGAAATGATCTGTGAACATGCCTGAGAGAAGCGAGAGCCAGCCATGTGGACAGATCGGATTCCTTCCTGCCAAAAACAGCCTCTCTTTCATGCCCTACATTGTCTGCAGGCATGTGAGAGCCATATTTTCCATCATTTGGCATTCAAAGAGCTAAGCTAGCTCCACTCACAGCTCAAAGATGATTGGGGAGCAGAAGTGTTAGCAGTCTACCCTCCTGCCAGGAGAAAAGGGAACCTGGTTCAGAGACCAAAGCAAAACTTATTCATCTCATCTTTCAAGACCCTGAGACACATCCCCAACCCCCCAACCACAGGGTCCTCCCGCATTAAAGAGCAGCAGAAATCAAATGCACATCCGTTACTGGGAACTAGCAGGGGAGTGGGGCGAAGGTGACAGATTCTGAAGAGAGAATGCACACCTTTGTGCTCCTGCCTTCTTAAAATTCATCCTCTCACCTGCCAGTCTGGAGAATTGCCTATTTACATAACTAGCTGCCTAAAATGGAATATTGGATAATGGTACATGGCGGCTCACTCAATTTGAGCCCATCCTCGGGATGTGAGCGTGATCCCGACAGCATGGCATGCCCTGCGCTGGACTGCAGCCATGCTGTGTGGTGTGAGCCTGTCAGCACTTGGGAGCTAAGCAGATGTCAGGCCCAGGGGGTGGGGGTGGGGGACTCTCTCAAGCAGGAGAGTGAGGAGGGGACCTGATTCCACAGTGGCAGGCTCTCTGCAGGGCACAGCCTGTATTCCTGCGCTTCACAGTGGTGGCCTTGTTTTGCCCAAGGTGCCGTGTCGGAGAGAACCACATGTAGGGCCTGAGAGGAGGTGGGGAAATCAGAGGATCCACGGGGACAGTCGGCCTGGGAGGTAATCAGTTTGCTCTTATCTATCCCGGGCACTGTGCCAGCCTTGAACCCCCTGTCGGTCCTTTACACAGCACAGATCTCCCTCCCATCAAAAAGGGAATCACGCTGCTCGATTACAGGAGGAGTATAAATAAGTGATAAGGAAGTGTTCTGATAGTGATCAGCGGGGGTAGCTCCTTGGTGGACCGGATATATCAAAGAAGGCAGCGTGCATGTGTGTTCCTTTATTTTTCAGCGTTCCAGTTCCTGTAGTCAGTTTAAAGAAAATTCCTAACCTAGTGAAGGCCGATGGTGCCAATGTCAAAATGAATTCTACAACCACTCCTGCAGCCACTTCCTCCTCCTCCTCTGCCATCTCAACCCCACCTTTAATTAAGCCCACCTTGATGTCCAAGTCAGTGCCACCTTCACCAGAGAAGATCTTAAATGGCAAGGGGATTCTGTCAGCCACCATAGACAAGAAGCACCAAAACGGCACCAAAAACAGCAACAAGCCTTACCGGAGACTTTCAGGTATGTGTTAGAGTCTGGCTCGTGGTAAGAGTGAAACCGAGTCCCATCTGTAACCAGTGATGTGTTTGTATAATTAAACAGCTGTTTCATTTTAAGGGCGACACGGCGTGTAGCCGCAAAACAGGAGCAGCACCGCAAAGTACCAGGGAGCGCTGTTGTCCCCATTCCCCAGTGCGGATAAGGTCCCCAGCCAAGTTTTGAATTTAGCTGAAGCTATCCTAGAATTCTAGGAAGCAGGGGCCTCTGCTTCCGACAGTCACGGACTCCGAGGGCCTTGTGAGCCTAGTGGCCGTGTATAGACACATCATGCTGCGTCTGTACGGTAGCTCCCACCGAAGCATCACTGCTGTGAAGCTGGACTGGCCACAGCATGCTGGGTCGAACAGTGCAGTCAGCAACTGTGCCACACCAAGAACTGTAACTTCTGCCCTTCAGCCTCCTGGGTTTTGGGACTGATTCTACCGTTGGGGTAGCAGCTGCCTTCTCCTCCATAGTCAGGCTGGAATTCCCACTGGGAGCTCCCAGGCCAGAATAGCAGAGGTTCAGAGAGGTCTCTCAGGCCACTACTCAGCCCCCTAAAGAGACGCATAGCTGCTCAGAGGTGACAGTTGCCCCTTTAAAGGATGATGTTTGCTTTGGGTCTGTTGTAGAACTAAATCTGGTTTGCTCTGCTGTCTCCAAATGACCGGAAGAAGCTAGGCATTTCATAGGTTCTCCACACACCGTGGGCCGTCTGTAATTGTAGCTAGGATAAACAAAATACAGAGAAAGCCATCCTTGAGAGAGAGAGTTTGTCTTGTGCTTCAGGCATGGCTCTTAAGCACCCAAGGTGTGAGTAATTTTTATATTCTGCTTCATGTTTAATTGGATTTTCTATCTCATATCTGTATTTAAGAATTATGTTTTAAAGTGCTTGGGCCCACCCAACAACTTTCAAATGAAGCAGCCCCATCGCTGTCTCCATGTCCCGTTTAGCTACAGTCAAGGTGAAGGAGGATCCTGGTGGGGCCTTCGCTTATGGACCGAGTCCCCCATTGCTAACTCTTTTCCCAAATGGAGTGTTCCCGTTCTCAGGGCAGAGGTGGGCGGCCACATCCCCGTGTGTGTGTGTGTGTGTGTGTGTGTGTGTGTGTGTGTGTGTGTAGGGGAGGTGTCAGCCTGTGCTGTGGCTCGCTTGCCGCTGAAAGAACACCACCTTGGCTTCTTCTCCCATTCTCCCATTCTTGTGGCAATGGGTTCTTTGCTTGTTCCCACCTCTGTCACACATTCAACAGCCAACTCCTATCCCTAGTTAAAACCCCATTAGTTCCAACATGAGGTGCTGGTGCCGGTCTGGGCACACGACTGACACTGGCAGACCAAGTGAAAGACCTCCACAGTAGGCCTACTCACTCACTGCCTGCTTTGATCTCTGCATAAGTGGGAGGGGCATTTGGATGGCCCCTGAGTGGTGGCAGCGGCAGGGGGCGGGGCCAGTCTGTACACAACATCACAGCTTTGGTTTCAGCCTCCTTCTGACCCCCACACTTGACAATAGAACGTTCATTTATTTCACTTCAAGTTTACACCAGCAGATTCGGACAGTTTCTGGCTAAGGAACTCTATTCAGTTTGCCACCCTTACAGACACCTCACATTTCTAGAGGCCCGACACCCTCCCCAACCACCCCCTCTCCACCATTGAACAGCCCTGCAAATTACCACAGAGAGCTGAGGCATTCCTGCTCTGCAGGACTCAGGTGTTTGCTGGTGCCTTACAGAGACAGCCTGAGGATCCTTGAGAGATTCACACACACACACACACACACACACACCATTTTGCAGGTGTGGTAGGCATTTTTGTCATTCACCAAAGAGAGGAAGGGTCACAAGAGACACCATGAGAACAGTTAGCGGTGACCTCATCCTTCATCTCCCAGGCCTCTCGTCCTGTCTTACCCTCCTGTGCGTCACCTGAACCAGGGCTACAGACAAAGCGAGCTGTAAGGTTAGCAGCCCGCACTCCCGTGCCTTCAAGTTCCGATCCGCAGAGGGACACAGCCACACTTCTCTCCCTGCCGGAGGCATGACCTGGACGGTCCTGGTTCAGGGCAATGACTTTACCAATTAAGAGGCTGTGTGGAAGGCCTTCACCAAGGGCTTTGAAAAGCACCCTGAGAGCCCAAATTGACAAGTCAGTGAGCAAGCTCCCACTTAAATGGATAAAGCAGGCAGGCAAGGTGGGGGTTGGGGGGTGAGAGGTGAAAGTGGGGGTTGGGAGGGGGCAGCGGGCATGGATTCTCCAGGCAGCCTGGGAAGTAAGTAAGGGTGACTCTTTTTGGTCTCAGGTGCCTCTCCCTGCCCTGCAGCCACTGTGCCCAAAGTGCCAAGGACCTGCGGGACGATTTTAAGTAAAAGTGTTTGCGAACAGTGTGGTCCTTCCCTTCTGCCAACTACTCCCACCCTGTTCCCAGTGCTGCCCTGTACCAGACTCAGGGTTCAGAGAGGAGCGCCATGTCCCCCTGGAGTGGTTCTTGAAGCTTAGCAGCGGGTTGGGGAAGAAAAAAAAAAAAAAAAAAAAAAAAGAAGAAAAAAAGATTGCCTGACAATATCTCACTTGTTGGTGCAAATGTGATTTTTTTTTTTAAATGTAGTCTTAATGCCAAATCCTATTTAGTCTCCTTTTTTCTTACATTTTTTGTTTGTTTCTTAAACCAGAGAGAGAATTTGACCCAAATAAACACTGTGGAGTATTGGATCCCGAGACAAAGAAACCTTGCACAAGATCCCTCACCTGCAAGGTATTTCTCTTTCCATAAAAAATACTTCCTGCTCTTGCCGGGGCCTTTGTCGAAATGTTTGCATGCCACTCTCTGCACACGGCAGGGTGTGGAACCTCGACACGACCTCCAGCTGTTCTTTGTAAGGGAAATGCTTTCTTCTCTGTCCACGGTAGCAGAGTGCCTGCCTCAAGCTGGCTGGCTTTTTAAGGGGAAGGAAAAAAAAAAAAAAAAAAACACCCTAGGCTTCCCGTGTTACTTGGGAGGCCAGACAGTAAATTGTATTTATAGGCACTCACAGGCGGTTCTAAAGCCTGCTAGGTTTTAATGTATGCAGGAACGGCGGCGGCGGCGGCGGCGGCGGCGGCAGCGCCCAGAAAGGCAGCCCTGAGGGGAGGATGCGGTGCTGCGCCCTGATCTAGCCTCTCGGGGTGACCGGGGGACAGGCGGACCCGGGGCACCCGCTAGTGGGTAGCCGCGAGCGACAGATTTCCTCCTGTCCTTCTAGTTCCTCTTGGGATCCAGGCTATGGCCCTGTCTGCCTGGTGGCCCCAGATGCATGGGCCGGCTGGAGCCTCCCACCCGCACCTGGATTGACTTTAGCTTTCCCTCGCGGGTGGCCTTCCTCCGAGCTTGTCCCGGGTTCTGCGCAGAAGCTGTCTCATGCCGTTTGTCCGGAGGAAGCCTTGGCTTCTTAACACCTGGAGTGTAGGGCATGGTTGCGTTCCAGCGGTCTCTGCCTCTTCCCAGCCTCAGAACAGGAGCTGTTGCCTTGAAGTTGACTTTCCCAAGCACCTTTAAATGCTCATGGTTGCAATTTCGGAAATGCAGGCCGTGGGGAAGCAGGTGTATGTGCTGATCAAAGAGGCTGTGCTTCTCATGTCTCTCCTTAGACACACTCGCTGAGCCACCGGAGAGCAGTCCCAGGCCGGAAAAAGCAATTTGACCTCCTTCTGGCGGAACACAAAGCCAAGTCGCGGGAGAAAGAAGTGAAAGAGCACCTTCTGACTTCCGCTAGGGAGATACTTCCAAACCCGCCAGGACCCGCGCCCGATGCTCTGCAAGGATCTTCCGGGAGCACGGCGGCAGAGCCAAAAGTAGCATCCCCACCAAAATGCAGGCCACTCAACTCTGTACTTCCCAGGTAAGTCGGCACCGGCGTCGAAGCAGCCCCAGCCCTCAGTCAAGGTCCTCTTCCCTGCTAGGTGTTTTGTGTGTGTTCTGACGCTGCTCTAATGAGGTATTTCAGTCCAACCTCCTAAGGCTCTGTGAAGTTTCAGTCCGCTCCTGCGCCCTAGGGGCTCAACCCGGCGCCTACCACATAGCACTCAACAGATTTTCCGGCTCTAGTCATCAGCCTTCCTAGCAGAGCTTTTATCAGACAGTGTGTTTTTACAGAGCGAGAGTGAGCTGGAAACAGACGCTGGAAGATTGGCACTTCAACCACCAGGCAACTTACCGGCTGCTTGGGTTTTTATGTAATTTGAAGACTCCTGGGGCAGAAAGGGGAAGCCTGGGTAGATAAGAAGTTAGAACAACTTACAAGCTCCCAGGACCTCCTTTCTTGCCCACTTGTCACGATTTCTTATGACTTATTTTCACAACTCCCCTATGGTCAGGATGAAGAGGACAGTGGTGGGGTTGAGGGTGAGCCACTTGTTTGGGATGGAAAAAAAAAGAACAGAAAACAGAATTACAATCCATTTGGAAAAGCAATTTTATTAAGATGTGTGAATGTTTGTTCTGATGGGCAGGAGAGCAATTTCCAGGTAACAGGATCTGGACTAACTATCTACATTCAAAAGTGTTTATGGAGGACTTACTGGAGAAGCCAGGTACTGTCGGGCCAGAGAAGAGAAAAAAAAAAAAATGCAGCCGGACCCTGCTTTCCAAAACTGTAGAGTTCAGAGGACGAGACATGACTCAAATGTCCATACCCGGCACAGAAAGGAAATAATAATATTCAGTGAGAAGTACAAATTGTGGTATTTTTTTTTAAATGCAGGTTTGTGTCCCAAAGGGTCATTGTTCAACCAGCAAATAAGCTTTGAGAGAACATCATTAGAAAAGAGCAGGGAGTTGGCCTTTAAAGCAACAATCTAGTTGATAGCAGTGGTTTATGATCCTTCTACCTGTTGCAGTTTGCCGCAAAGAGGCTGCAAAGAGTCTTGCAGCAGAATCCCTGTGCAGTTATAGTAAAGGACCACAGGCATTCAGGAGCAGACAGCCTTAATGTTCGCTCCTAAGTTACCTGCCACCTCGGCGTCCTTCCACCACTATAGACATCTGTGTTGTGGCAACCCCTTTCTTTGCATGACCATTTCATAATTACTTCACACTACAATGCCAGGTAATGGCCAAAGGGGTTACCCTTGTTTCAGAGTTGAGGAGACAACTCCATTCCAAACTTCTGGGCTTTAACTGTGTATAAGTGGTACCGCCCCATTCTCCAAGACCCTTTGTGGATGCTTGACACTGCAGATAAAATGAAACCTTGTATATACTGTGTTTTCTCCTATACATGTTTTCCTATGAAAAAATTTAATTTATGAATTGGGCACAGTCACTAATAATAAAATAAAATAGAACAATTATAAAACTATATTATAGTAAAATCAGCATTACTAATCTTGTACTTTAGGACCATGATTAAGTAAAACAAAGGTTATGTGAATTCTGTTGCAGTTAGTCTGAAAAAGGCTGCTAACTGACTGATGGGGCAACGCATAAAGAGCATGGATACATTGACAGCGTTGATTCCTATCCTGGAGGGGCAGAGCAGGACCGCTCAGCATTTCATCACACTACTCAGAACCGCATGTGCTAGAAACTTATGAGCCGGTGCCTATAATGTTACATTTAATAGTTTTAGACCTCACTTGACCATGGAAAAGTGAAATCACGGGTAAGGGCAGCCTATGTAGAATGACTTTCAGATCCTTTGTAATTAGTGAACATTTTTTTTTCCATTACAACCCCTCCTTCACAGTACACGATACTGGCTGACTGGCCTCCACCTGAAACCACGTGTATGCAGAACCACTATCCTGCAGACTCTCAGAGGGACCACAGTGGATTCTTCAAGGATTCCCCAAGCAGAACCAGTGTGATAGCTCTTTTTTTTTAGGGGGAGGAGGCTAGTGAGAAGGGGTTTCATGTAGTCCAGGCTGCCTCGAAATATCTATAGAGACGAGGATGACCATAAACTTCTTTCTGGTTCCACCCTCTTAGTGCTGGTTATAGGCCTGTCTTGTGAAGTCCGACTTAGATGACTCTTTCATTAGTTGTTGCTCCAAGTTTTAGCAGATGGAAACTCTTCTTTATCAGTGGTGTCCGAGTTAACAGAGAAATGGAGAATAGCTGCTAAAAACAGAACAGGGAGGGAAGTCTTGAGAGTCTTCTTAGCTTTACTCCTCGTACTGTGGTTTTGTTTGTTTGGTTGTTTTGTTTTGTTTTTGAGACAGCATTTCTCTGTGTAGCTTTGGCTGTCCTGGAACTCCTTCTGTAGACCAGGCTGGCTTTGAACTCACAGAATGCTGGGATTAAAGGCTGTGTGTTTTTTTTTGTTTTTTTTTTTAGGAGAACATCAAGTACAGGAAACACCATGTGTTTATATTCTCTTTAGGAGCACTAGATAAGCTTCATCATCCTTCTTCTTCTTCTTCTTCTTCTTCTTCTTCTTCTTCTTCTTCTTCT